GAAGTTCATACACGATCCAGTTTTGCTGCCCTTTCGCTGTGACTCACTGCTCTCCAGAGTTTCCCTGATCTCTAACCATTTTTCTGTGTGTGTGTGTGTGTGTGTGTGTGTGTCGTAGGAGGTGCTGGAGTCGTGCCAGACTCGCGTGTCGAAGCTCGAGCTCCAGCAGCAGCAGCAGCAAACCATCCAGCTGGAAAACACGGACGCCAAAGTGCTGCTGGGCAAGTGCATCAACATCATGCTGGCCATCGTCACCGTCATCCTGGTGTGCGTGTCCACTGCGGCCAAGTTCACCGCCCCGCTGCTGCGCAGTCGCCTCCACTTGGCGCTCACCTGCGTGGGCGTGTCCCTGCTAGCGCTGCTGTGGAAGAACTGGGAACATTTGCAGTGCGCTTTGGAACGATTGCTCCTCCCGCACTGAGACCGGTGTGGGGAGGAAATCAACATGTAGCCTTACATGAGCCGATGATTCTGGGCTCCACGGTGACTCGGTTTAAGGCTCTGAGCCTCACTAAGAACACGTAAACGGACATAAACGCTCAAGACCTGAACCGGAACTCTCTGAAGGTGCACACATGAAAACGTGGCTGCTCTGCTGCAGATCTGCAGGGCCAACAAAAGATAAATCGGCTCAGCTGCTTTCATCTGGTCACCAGGAGACTCTGGTGGCACCGGCATCACACACACACTGAAGTCTAAATATAAATGAGCGGGATTACATCAGGGCATGGAATAACACGTTATTTTTTTTCCTGTCCTTTAAAGGGATGCGTTTCTGTTAGAGCACCACCTCCACACAAACTGTCAGTTATGAGTCCAGTGGACCTGATTTGAATGTGCACACCAAGCTCGCTGTGACAAACACAAACACACATCCACCTGAAGGTTCATTCGCACCGCGCCTCTCTCTCGCTGCTGTTCTGTATTTATGTGAGGTTTTTTTTAAATTCAGCATCTTCTTCAAAGCGACAGTTTGAAGTCTGGGATTGCACATTGTTTTAAGCTGTTTTCTATCAGTGTGTAAATCTGTGTATTCGTGTGCGTTGTGCACTTACTCGTGTGTCTCTGTACTGTGTTTCTTCAAGGAACAGTTAAACATTTTGGAAAATAGGTTCAAGTCTGGATGGTAGATGTGCAGCTAGAGCCAGGAGAGATCATTAATGGACGTGCTGTGAAAGAAATCTGCTGTAAGAAAATAAAACCTTTAAGCTACAGCTGCAGTGAAAAGTGATGCCCAAACCTGCTTTTATCGCCCTCCTTCATTTTTATTGCCCAAATCTGACCTCACAGTAACTAAATGATTATAAATTTGAAAAAATACTCCTAATTATGCGTTAATTTAATGAATTAGCTTCATGATTCTGCTCACCTCAACTGCTTGATTTTTTTTTTTCCCTGATCCATAATTATTATTGTTCAGTCTTCTGGTGTATCTTTGAATCCTCACAATAATCCTTATGTATCTCAAAGTTGATCCTCGATGCGGCCCCTTGGTCACGGTGCTTTGAGAACACAGCAGCCGCTGCTCAGGAAACGACTTCATGCAGTTATTTTAAAGCCCTTCTTTAAACCTACCAGGAGACTTTTGTCCAAAATGAGCTTAAAATGTTCACATTCCTGCAAGTTATGTTTTTATTGGTGTTTTGGTCCAGAGCTCCGACCCTCCCAATCAGCGTTTCCTGCCAGAGCGCTGAACGGATTTCCTCACAGTTCTTGTTACAAATGCAGTAAAACGAGAAAAATTGTTTAAAATGTGCACACAGCTTCATCTTTACCAAGATAATGATCAGATACACCGTCATTTACTGGGCAACAAAACGATGGCCTCTCTAACTCTTTCCCCATTAAGATGACATTCAACGATCTCCACATTTCCTGTAATGACAAGTTTTGACACATCTGTAATCAATAAAGAGGCTGTTAGACAATACGTTCCTGTACAGCCAGAGACCACTTCATTAACTTCTGATAGATACACAGTCATTTTAGTCTGAAGTAGCCTGAAATATGACAGAAACTCCTCAGTTCAGGTAAAAGAATCAAGAGTTACTCCTAACAGGCTCCCAGATGGAAACGGTTAAAGCTGGGGGCGGGACATAGAGATAGACAGCGTCTCTGCATTGCTTCATTCTGTCTGAAACAAGCCGGTTTACCTCCCTGCTGGTTACCGCCAAGTTTCTTTTACCTGTTTGTCGCACTCACCTGCTGGTCACCACGTCTGATGTGATTAATGTGTTCAAAAACACCAGGGACTGGTTACTTGTCTTATAGTTGGCCAACATCTCCGTCCTCTGGCTCTAACTTCACACTGAATAGACCAAAACAAAAAAACAAAAAAAAGTGACTATTTCCCAAAATGTCAGGCTGCCTGTTTTGAAGTGAAAGCTGCTTAACTGCCTCATCTCTTGTTAATTTGGTGTTTTGTGGTTATTTTGTTATGATGTTTGTGTTTTCAGGTAACTGTTGCTTCTGAAAGCTTTTTAAAGCCTCTAACAGTGAGAAGGGAAACCTTGTACTAACATCAAGAGATAGCTGAGAAGCAGAGCCTGTTTTCTCACACGACACATGTAGAGAGAACACTAACGCGTGATGCAGTTTGGTGCACGTGGAGGGAAATAAGGTGAAATTATGCCGATTTGAAATTGTTTAAAGTTGACAGGTGATCACATGCAGGCTTCACTTTTTAAGTCCTGGATCATTAGATGGCCTTTTCTGGAGAGGTGATCAGAACAAATTACAATGTGTGTGTGTGTGTGAAGCCTTTGATGCTGTGCTGCGTTCATGTCCAGGGGGAAAAAAAAACATGGCAGCATTCAGACGCTCTGTTCTGATATTTAGAAGATTTGAGAGGCTGAAGATTTTTCTCTTTTTACTTGAAATAAGCGTCTGTTCAAACATTAAAGCAGCATGTTTCCCAGCAGCGATAGCCGCTTTCCCACACGTGACTTGAATGCAGCATCGCAGACTGGACAGAGGGAAGTGAAAAATGTAGCTCCCCGACCCCATTTCACTGTGATGAAGATGATGACGAGGGGGTTAAAAAATAGGACTGATGCCTTTTCAGTGCAGCCTGTTTTTTCTTCTTCTGTGTGTCCTTCTGTTTTTCTCTATTCTAAGAAGAAAAAAAAAGCCAAATATGGAGGTTTTTATGAAACCTAAGCTCATCTTTGATGTTTTTTGCAAACCGATTCAAACACTATCTCTGTTAGGAGAGACGTGTACCTCCTCTCCAAAGCTCTGAGTTCATGGTGTGTGTGCGTTTTCTTTGTCTTTTTCTTTTCTTATTTCTGTGCATTAGTTTCTGGTTATGGGTTTTCTATAACTGTATTATTACGGTATTATATTTTCAGATGATAAAATAAATCATTGTTTTTCTATCAAGGTGCCTTTTTTTTAAAATAAAAAAAAATCTGAGCTTCTTATTGATTATGGAAGATGTAATCCAACTGTGAAGATCATACTGCTCTGCAAGCTTCCTAAGGAATACATGTATAAACCAGGGTGTAAATCACTTCAACTTAAAGCAGCTGGATAAGCTTTTAGAAACGACATTGATTTAACTGCATTCAATTTCACTGCTGTCTTCAGTTTAAATTCATGGATGCTTAAAAATCCATTAGAATCTTCTGCAAAACTCAAGTGCAGGCAAACAAAGGGAAGTAATTTAGGATTTGCAGGCACAGATGGATCTTAAATTGAACGCCAGGTGTCCTTTATTGCTTTTCATTAAGACAGACATTTTCATTCTGTTGTCTCAGAGACAAACGTCAAATCAAAGCAGCAGCAGCCCCACCCGGGATTTACAGTTATCATTAGCTGCACAGCGCCAGAATTTCCAGTTTTCTGGTTTTGCTGACCTCTGGCGATGATGTTTTGTGAAGTGTTTTCCCCTTACAAAGGCTTACAAAGGGTTCATACTGTATAGATGTGTATAGTGAAAACATCAATGGTTTGTGGCTTTAAATAGAGATATAGTGACAACTAGCGGCCAAACAGGAGCACTACCTCCAAATATCTAATTAGTTTTATTACATATATCTGCTTCAAATATTTTTTTAATTATATACGGCAACTATACTAAAATAATTAGAAATTTACTATTCAGTTAGACAGTACCCTGCCTTTCTTACTGCTGGAACCATGAATTCTGATAAATACGCAAAAAACTAAGGAAGGGACATAATTCTTTTTCATAGCACTTTATTTGCACTGTTCCAGTGATGGATGCTCATAATAAGCAGGTCTGATAATGAAGTCGGTGTATACATCAGTAATCCCTGTGAACCAGCAGCTCAGGCTTCAGACTGCTTCAAATGTCTGGTGTCAGTTTTTTTTCTTGGCTCTGCATGATGTGAAATAAAGTGGATATTCCTAATATGGTCATATTTGGCATATATCCCCAACCACTTTTAAACAATCTGTTTAACAGCCAATCAGAGGAAAGTTTGCTTAAACGGTACTAAGGGAGCTTGTTTTGGACAGAGGATGAAGTGTTGGGCTGCAATAAACATAAATAAGGATTATTTAGAATCATGCAAAGCTGCTCTAGTGGAATACAAACAAAATGTGCAGCTGGTTAGGTCTGGCTAAATAATTGCACACATTTTTATAATACTAGCGATGTAGGTTCACAGGTGATTTGTAATAGATAACAGCTACATTATTAGTACATAAAGTTACTGCATCTATTTACAAATCTAGCTACACTGTATTCCCAATAGAGTAAATTACCTTTTTTACCCAACAAAAACAGACTATGAGTGTTTACTAACCGAGTGCTGAAAACATGAAAAGGACTTCAATTCAAGCTACGAAAATTAAAGATTACAATGTGCAAATTTATGATTTTCAAATCCTAGTATTTCTCTTAAATTTATTTTCAGAAATTCTGACATTAAAGTTGAGTTCACCTGTCCTGGGTGAAAAAAAAACAAAACAAAAACAAAAAACACCTGTTGCTGCGTTCATCCGCAGCAGCAGGTGGCGATAGTGAGCGCTGTTGCTGCTGTTTTGGCGCAAAGCGGAAGCTGTCATAACTGTCCCCCTCATGAAAATGAAAAGTTCAGTGCTGTTATGTGGGTTTAGCAAAGGCACCTTATTATTTACTGTCTGAAAAAAAAAAAAAAAAAAAAACTCCCGTGGTTGATTTATGCGAAATATCTGACGTTAACTGAACGTGTCAGCGCTGGTTAGCGGTAGCTGCTTCAGCCATTAATGTGTTGAGGCTAGCCGGAGCAGCAGCAGACCTGGTTTAGCCTTCAATTTATGTTGTTTTCAAATGATCTGAGCAACTTTTGGACTAACCTCAGCTTTAAATGGACGAACACAAGGAGAACATTCACGGCCAGGAGGACAATGTGAAGACGTCCAGCGTGAAGGACCAGGAGAAGGTGGGTGAGCTAGCAGAATCACTGCTCCGTGTAAACGCTGTTTGCGTTGAAGTAAACTGGCTGGTGCGTTCATTGACACCAAAGACAGGCTGGTGAGAGATATGTCCCGTTGGGTTCTTTGGTGCCGACTTGATGAAAATGACTAGAAACCGCGTTACTTTTAGTTACTCTTGTATTGGAGTAATTAATACTAAAATATTTGAAGTAGACGGGAGCTACATCACAGTGTTTTGTTAATGTGAGCCCTGCAAATCGACCCCGATTCTCTTTTGCTCTGTGTACTTCATCTTGTCGTGTTGTATTTTAATTGACTGAGCTATTCTTTTTTTAAGCTAAAGAGATCGCTATTCTCGGGTTAGACCCCGTTTTCCTTCAGTGTTACTTCTTAAAGGCACATAATCAACAAGAAGTTTGCTCCAAGTTATCAGGATAGCATCGCACAGTGGGTGCTCATCCATGATGCGACTGTTGGATTGAGATCTGGTGACTGTGCAGGCCATGTGAGGTCAGAGAACTCACTGTCATGGTCAAGGAACTAGTTTCCTGTTAGAGGACAGCAGAGGCACCCAGTGTGGTCGTCTCCTGCTTCTAGGTTTGAGATGCTCTTCTGTACACTTGACCTTCCTACTCTTCTGCATGGTTGCATTAAGTTTGAACAGTCTGCCTATTTTCCTTTTACCTCCTAGAGATGGTTTTGTGGGAAAATCCCAGTAGATAGGTCTGAGTATTTCAGAAACTGCTATCTACTTTCTTTTGCAGATAATCTTATCTGATGTGTTGTTGGACTTCACTCTAAAATGATCTGTTCCTCCAAACAAACCATTGATCCATGCTCTCTGTGTTTTTGATGGCCAAATTTGTAGAGTTACATCATTTTCTGACACATAACGACCCACACGTCTCCTCCTCAGGAGAAGCCTAGCAGCAGGCTGTGTCCTGCGGGAGAATCTGCTCCTCAGGTGTCCCCGTCTCAGTCGAAGGGTGACTTCAGCCATCCGGTGTACAAAGAGATTGCTTTGGCCAACGGCCACATCAACCGCATGACGAAGGAGGAGCTTCGGATCAAGTTAGCGGAGTTAAAGCTCGACACACGGTGAGTTTTTAATAAATGTTTGAGGACCAAACACTCGTGCTTGTCCCTTAGAAGTGTTCTACCAAACAGTTTTTCTCTTGGTGTGTGCAGAGGAGTGAAGGATGTGATGAAGAAGAGATTGAAGAGCCACTATAAGAAACAGAAGCTGATGCAGACGGCGGCAGAGGGAGGCCCCACCGACACGTACTACGACTACATCTGTGTGGTGGACTTTGAAGCCACATGTGAAGAGGACAATCCTTCAGACTTCCTCCACGAAATCATTGAGTTCCCTATGGTTCTCATCAACACGCACACCTTGGAGATTGTTAGTAAAGATTGTGACTTAAATCAGGAGTTGTCTTTTGTTGTTGTTGTTTCTGTTGTTGTTAATAATGATGTTCCTCTAATGTTCTGCACAGGTGGACACCTTTCAGGAGTACGTGAAGCCTGAGCTTAACCCACAGCTCTCAGACTTCTGTGTGAAGCTGACGGGAATAACGCAGGTCGGTTGAGTTCACGTCACTATCACATTACACGTGTGGGTCATTTACTCATTTTGCTGTGTTGTGTTGGTAGAAAATGGTCGAAGAAGCAGACCCGTTCCCAGTAGTCCTGCAGCGAGTTGTGTCGTGGCTTCAGAAAAGGGAACTCGGGACAAAATACAAATACGCCATCCTGACTGACGGGTGGGTTTCACGTCAAAGCTTCTGCAGGATGTTTACTTTCTTCTCCTCACTTGGTTTACAGCACCGTTTCTTTAACATCGTCCACAGGTCGTGGGATATGAGCAAGTTCCTCAACATCCAGTGTCGGGTCAGCCGAATCAAATATCCTCCGTTTGCAAAGAAGTGGATAAACATAAGAAAGTCATACGGAAACTTCTACAAGGTACATTTTACGGCTTTGTACAGACACGCTTACATGTTTTAGATTTTTAAAACTAATTTTAATATTAGTCAAAGATGATTTCATTTATTTAGGGGAAAAAGTTATCCCAAGCTACCTGGCTCTGTGTGGAAGAAAGAAAAAAAAAGTAACTGCACCCTTATTTCATTAATCACACCCAGCTCTGATTACTGCAAGACCTGTGGAATCAAGAAATCACAAATAGAACCTGTCTGGCAAAGTGAAGCAGGCTAAAATATCTCAAATAGCAACACATCAAAGCCCAAAGAAAGAAAAAAAAAAAAAGCAAAAGGGAACAAATACTTTTTCACAGTACTGTATTCTTACTGTTCCAGCTCATTTCAGTCATTAAACCCTCTGCCTGCCTTCCTATGTCCCGTCCATGAACCTCCTCACAGATTTGGCTATTTCTCACATGTCCTAATGTCTTCTATGATAAAAGGTCTCCACTGCTAACCAGCCATATTTTCTTCTTCTTCCTCCAGGTGCCGCGTACTCAGACGAAGCTGAGCACCATGCTGGAGAAACTCGGCCTGACGTACGAAGGTCGTCCTCACTCCGGGCTCGACGACTCACGCAACATAGCGAGGATAGCTGTCCGCATGCTGCAGGATGGCTGCCAGCTGCGCGTCAACGAGCGCATGCACGGCGGTCAGCTGCTCTCGGTTCCCAGCTCGGCGCCTGTGGAAGGAGCTCCGCCTCCACACAACCCCCGCAGCAGGGACTAGAACCATGACCACTGAAAATACTTATACTGGAGCTCAAAGTCTCCTTTTACACCAGATCTTTAAAAGTGGATCATTCCTTCATTTTCTGGGTGGAAAAGTCTGCCTCGCCACGCCTTACCGCGCTGCTGTTTCTCAACAGTATCACAGAAATATCTTTCAGTTGTCTTGTGGTGGGGAGAATTCAGTTTTTACCCTTGACAGCATAATAAAGCCTAATCTGCAGCTTCACATGAACACACATCTACAATTTAAACTACTGTGCTAATAAAACACATAAATGCTGCTGTGCTGTTTAAGGTGCTGCACGATGACACTGCTCACCGCTTTCCTCGCAGAGAGTCGAAGAGTCGGTCCTGTGGACTCGGACAGCTCCATAAACGGACCTCTTAAAGAAAGCTGTAATTAAGGAGTTCAGCCTGTGTTGTACTGTCGTCACGTGTACAGATGTCTTGATTTAATGTTTGTTTCATAAATGAGGATTTGTTTCAACTGAAATGTCTGCAGATCTGATAAGTAATGCAAATTAAATGTCTCTTTTTGTTTGCAGTTTTTCATCTTCTTCACTCTGTGTGATGCATGCTTTAGATTCAGCAAATTTTGAAGGGACAAGAGAGGCAGTCGAGTCACTTTAGAAGCTCGGCACAGGTGCCTTACAGCAGGCAAGCGTTGACAGGCTAAACCTGCTCTCAGGGCATCAGGGGCGGTATTCTATGGCAAATATTAATCAGGCTCCACAGTGCTGGGCAGCAAGCGCGGGGCCCACTAGACCTTTATGACACCAGCATGAAGCCTGTTTCCGACTCGCTGATCAGACTTTCACACCACTGTCCTGCTGGAGGTCATTTTGTAGCTCTGGCTCTGCTCATCCTGTTCCTCTTTGCACAAAGGAGCAGATAGCGGGCTTGCTGATAGGTTCGGGGCTTTCTGCGGCCTCTTGGAAGGCTGTAGAGTAACTCTAGAGTGCCTGCATATCTCCTGGAATTTCCTTCCTGCTCTTAAGACTGTGCTGCGAGATACAGCAAACCTTCTGACATCTGAACATATATATGGACTACCTGTGTGACCTCTGTAGGGTCCTGGTATCACCTCATGCTTCCAGTAGTGACACTTTGGAAACCTGGGTGTAAACTAAACACAGTGTTGTTTTAATCTAACACTTATGTGTATGTTTGCAGACCCAACTGTCTGTACTATGATCATCAAAAGAAGTGCAGACACAGCTTTCCCTCAAGGTTTCTTTGTAATTCAGCTGCTTCTATCACCAAGTCTTCCAGGCTTTGTGGCTGTGCAGCCCATTTCTCTGGTCTTTATTTATTTATAATAGGGAAAAAAGTGTTGTTTTTTTACCAGAACACAAAAGATTAAACAAGACCAGCTGACATGTGTTTTTCTTGTAGTCGGGTTTATTATTGGCTGGTTGTTAAGGCGCCATGTCCAAGTGATATCTTTGGATTATTAAGTACATGTGAAATGTTAATCCTTTTAATATAGATATTTAGTTACAATTAAACACAGATTGTAGTAACGTATGCAGGTATATTGGCTTCGAGGTCATGATGGCTTCTTTCCTTCTGGACTCCTTACTTTAATACTCTAACGGTCTTTGGCAGCTTTAAAGCTTTTTTTCTGTCGTTGAAACATTTTTTGGCAACGTCAAATATATTAGTGTTTTTATTTAACAGCCGTAAAAGGAGCAGGCATGTAGGAGCAGTACGTCAGACACTTTGGCACTGTCAATAAAGTCAAAGGCGGCGATGGTTTCATCACAAACAGGTGCTGTACAGCGCTACTTTGCGGCTCATCTCCTCCAGCATGTTGCGGGCGGCTTGCTCCAGCTCGGCCAGCTCTTTAGCTTTGGCCTCCAGGATGCGCTGGTTGTCCACGTAGGAGACCTCTAACTCTGAAAACGCCACACAAAAACAAAACTGTCTTTTTTAACAGTTTAAATTTCTTGCACAAGTGGAATATTTTTTTCTTAATTTTTATATATCTGATCATACTTCAGAAACTGACTCAAGATCAGTCGGCTGGTCTGTAGCAGATTATTTCATGTGCTTCTGTGTATTTTTTTAACGGGAGAGGATCCAATAATGTAAAAAGAAACAGATCTAAACAAACAGGAAGAGAGCAAACTCCCTTCTTGTTTGTTAGAAATGCATTCATTTAAAAGAACAGAAGACAAAACTACAGAGTTATTATACATTTATCTGAACAGTGTTCACCTTTGAGTCTCTCCAGCTTTCTGCTGCTCTGATTGAGCAGCTCTATGGCCTCCTGCTGCAGTTCGTCTGCCCTCCTCTTCGCCTGCTGCACCGACTCCCCTTTAACCTCCACCTGGTCCTCCACCTCAGCGAATTTATCCTTCAGCCTCTCATTGAACTCCTGCACACACAAAAAAAACGCACTGCAGCAGGAGTGGATTCACATGCAAACCAACACGGATGCGCGCGTTTGTGAGACCTGCTCTGCTTCGTCGGCGTCCTGTTTGGCCTGCTGCGTCGTCTGCTCAGTCGACACCATTATCTCCTCCATCTCCAGGTTGTTCTGCCTCAGCAGGCCGACCTCCCTCTCCAGCTGCAGCAGGCGGCCCGTGGTGTTACTGAGCTTCAGCTCCGACTTGGCCGTCTCCGACTCCACCTGACGCACAAATGCACAGATTTATCTTGTCTTTTCTTTTTCACTTCTTCTTTTTAACTGTTCAGGGTTTGCCTCATACTCTTTCTGCTAATCCCACCATCATTAATTTCACCTGCATCTCATCCCTATTAAGCCAGAGTTTCTCCTGTGTGTTCACATGAAAGGAGCGGCGCTGGCAGCTTCTGACCAACCACAGCTAAAAAAACAGGCTAAAGTTTAGCCTGTTCAATGCCAGGAAGGAAACCCAACTATAGCATAAGATATAAGGTCACAGAACTCATATAGAATAATAAGTTATCTTTAAACATCTATATTTATTACTGATGATCATCGGGGAAAGCTAAAGACTTCAGATGCTATTAAAAATCTTTGGACCCTCCTGTGATCCACAGATCTGAGGGATGGCTATTTTCCAGAGAAGTAGCTGGTGACTTGTTGATCCAAACTGGGTTATTTTAGTTGTAAATATTTTTTCTGAATCCAGTTCAGTTTCAGGAAGTTTTTGGAGCTCATTCAATCTTTCAAGTTTAGTTTAATTTTAGTTAAACTTGAATACCTTTTGTATCTTTATAATTTATTTTGTGGGTGGCGTTGTCAGGCATTAGTAAGTCAGTTTCCTTTACGTACATTCAACTTTTGTTTGCTATATTATTTTTATTTTTTCAAAGTTTCTAATTTAATTTGTTATTTTTTTATGTTTATTTTTAATAGCTTAGACTAAAAATGCTTTTTAAAATAAAAATATTACGTCCGAACACCCGACAGCAATAAAACATTTTTATATCACTGTGATTAAACTAAATCAAAGCTGAGCGTTTCCTGACTGAAATATTGTTTTTAAAGTCAGTTGTTACTGAAAACAAGGCAGACCGTTCTAAAACGGCAACAACGTACGACTCCATCTCTTGAACTTTGTGCTGTTTTTGTCATCCCGAAACAGTAAACGGAGTCACTGAATCAAACCGCATCATCACTGAGGTCAGCCGTACAGCGTTCAGCAGGTCCATGGTGCCCTTGGTGTTGTTCTGGGCCAACTCAATGGCGTCCATGGCGATGCTCTGAGCGCGGTCGGTCTCGTCCAGGGCAGCCTTAACTACTTCTGCGGTGTCCTTCATGTTAGACGCTTTCTCGCTGACAGACAGGGAGAAAGAAAGATGGGTTTATTTACACATTTCTGTCAGAGGCAGCCAATCAGAAGAATGTCAGTTCAAAGGGGGAGGAGCTAAAACAGCTTGTTTTTCACATTTTAAATTTGCAGTTGGCTGCTCGCTGACCGCTTCACTGACTGACCTCCTGTGTTTGAGCTCAAACTGGTAACAAGGATTTAGATTTTGACCAATCACCTGCCTCTGATGTCCTGCATTTGGCTCGTAGTCCAAGAAAATGTTTACAACAATTACAGAAGAAAGCAAAAATATTGCCACCTGTAAGACTGCAAAAAAGATTTTTTCATGTTGAATTTTTTTATCCCGTTCCTCCTGTTTTCCATCCTGTCAGTCGTCACGTGTTACCTTGCAGCCTTAGCCTCCTTCAGCAGCGACTCGGCCGCCATGACATCCTCCGCGCTCTGACTGAGGATCGTCTCCACACTGGTCAGAGTGGTGACCTTCTCCCTGATCTCGTCCGTCAGCTCCTGAAGCTTCTTGGCCGACGTCGGCATCTCCAGAGCCAAAACCTCGTTTGCCAAGGCCTCGATAACGGACGCGTCTGCTTTCTCATCTGGATAAACGCAGACCAAACATAAATGAACCGTTTTATTTTAAGAAACGTGCATAAATTTTTACACATTGTGAAGACTAGACGTGTACAGGAAAAACTCACTCATGAGAAGATCTCGAATCTCCCTGATGAGGTTGCGGAGCTGCTCGTTGCTCTGCTCCACTCTCTCTTTGCTCTGGTTGGATTTGATCAGCACCTCCAGAGCGTTCGCTTTGGCTTCGTTTGCTCGGATGTTCGCTTCCCACACCTGAGCAGAGTGTCCACACAGGTCCAGGTTACCTGTCTCACATCCACCTGCAGGTGTTCCACATTATAACACGACGACCATGTTCACTTACCATCCTGGAGAGCTCGTCTACCTCCTGCATAGCTTCTAGGATCGCCTGTTCCAGCTCATTGGCTGAATTGAGAGACGTCTGAGCGGTTGTGACAGCGCCTCCACACTCTTCTCCTCCACAGCGAGGCGCTCCATCCTCGTTGGTGCAGCCCAACCCGCCACAGGTGGAGCAGCCATCATCACCTTCAGAGGCTCCACCACAAATCTTCAGAGAAAGACAGAATTACCAACAAAGGTGAACGTGTGATAGACAGATGCGATCTTCCCGTGTTCTCACCTTTTCACTTAGTGAAGACAGGCTAAATTTATCAAGCTCTTTGGACAGCTTGTCCAGCTTCTGCATGTTTCTCTGTTGTTTTCGGTCAAATTCCTTCTTCGTGCTGCTCAGTTTGTCCTCCGTGGCTTTCCGTACTGCAACTGACTGCTTGACTGTGTTGCCAGGGTCGCTCGTAGAAGCATTGGTGCGCTGCTCTGCCATCCTAGACTGCATGTGCGCAGCAGTAATAGTCTCCAGGGCACCTGGAAGCAGTAAAGTTAGGGAACAGTGAAACAGGGCTGGACGGAAATGTAGTACTGATGTACCGATTAAAACGTGCCGACTTTCTGTCTTGGCTAAGCTGTAAAGGTCTAAGAGTGAAGCTTTAGGCTGAAGCACTTGATTTCTCACCGTGTATGTTGGCGTTCTTGGCGTCGTCCACCTGCTGTCTCAGCCTCTGGACGCTCATCTCCAACTGGTTTGCCTCAACAGTCAGCACGTCTAAGTCTGCATCGGTGGCATTTGCATCACTCTGAAGAAGTTCCAAGGCTTCCTCGGTTGTGTTGAGCTTTCCATTGAGATAGGACATCACACCAC